AAAAAAAAAAAAAAAAAATTATTAGATATCATCCTTACCTTTCATGTTAAATCATTTAGATAGATTTTATTTTTGTTTACATGTAGCTAGAGAGATCCAGGAAGCTCAACTGACCTGGCTGGAATAGGTATAGAAGCAGCTTTTGGATAAGGAGTTGTTTCAGCATCAGAGGCTTGTAGCCCAGTATGCTGTGTTCCTGCTTAGGCTGATACTGATCCCTTTCTATCTTCGACTCAGAATAATATATTTATTAAGCACCTTCTTGGTCCCTAGTGTTGGTAACAGACTAGTTGGACTAGACTAGAGCAAGAAAAAGTGCTGTCATGGCTCCTAATTTCCACTTGCATTTCCCAATTTCATTTTATCTACTATGCGTACTTTATGTTCTACTGTGGTAATGGAAAGTGAATGATTAACTTGAAGATAAAAAAAAAAAAAAAAGGACCTGATATGAATTCAACTTTATGTCTTAGGTTTTCCTTGATGAAATCAGGTTTCTCTCCACCTAACAGCACCACTCAAAGGTACGAAGGAGATCTAATTCTGCCCACAATATCCTGCTTTTGTGAGCTAAAGCTTTCTGTGTCCTCTTAGCAAAAAGAAAAGTCAAAATCCTATGGATGTGAAAGACAATACAGTAATCATCATTTAAAAAGTCATGCCTCAAAATTCATGCCAAACAAACATAATTCACACCAAAAAATAAAAAATAAAAAATAAAAAAAAAAACCAGTGGCCTTCTGACTAGAGGCTGGGGGCAGTGGCTCATGCCTGTAATCCTAGCACTTAGAGAGGCCAAGGCAGGCAGATAACTTGAGGTCTGGATTTCGAGACCAGCCTGGCCAATATGGGAAAACCCCATCTCTTCTAAAAATATAAAAACTAGCCAGGCGTGGTGGTGCATGCTTGTGGTCCCAGCTACTTGGAAGGCTGACATGAGACTCGCTTGAACTCAGGAGGTGGAGGTTGCAGTGAGATGAGATCATGAGACTGCCCTCCAGCCTGGGTAACAGAGCAAGATTCTATCTCAAAAAAAAAAAAGTTAACACTTTCTTTTTTGCTCAATTTGAGTTTATATAACAATGTTGTGGAAATAGCCATTAATTCTGGCATAAAAAAATGAAGAGGAGAAAGTCATTATAAAAACGACTTTTACGGCCGGGTACAATGGCTCACACTTGTAAATGTTTGTTTGTTTGTTTTTGAGATGGAGTCTTGCTCTGTCACCCAGGCTGTAGCACAGTGGCAAGATCTCGGCTCACTGCAACCTCAGCCACCCAGGTTCAAGTGATTCTCCTGCCTCAGCCTTCCGAGTAGCTGGGATTACAGGCACGTGCCACCACATCTGGCTAATTTTTGTATTCTTAGTAGAGATGGGGTTTCACCATATTAACCTGGCTGGTCTCAAACTCTTAATCTCATGATCCTTGGCCTCCCAAAATGCTGGGATTACAGGCATGAGCCACCACACCCAGCCCTGCATGTATACCTTTCTTTCTT